AAGTACTAGTTCATGTGTAAAGGAAAGACAGACAGTGCTCACACTTCCTAAATACTTTGTTTTCATCCTAATTTGATTGGAATTCTCATTATAGATTGTCTATGTTGTGTGTTACTCCTTCCTTTTAGACCTTTTCCTCACTCTCTGTCTTCAATGGTCTTTGTGTGTAAATTCAGTTATAAGTGAAAATTTTGTCTACAGGAAATGCTTGCATTCGCAAGCTTGGTATTGTGATGTGCATTTGGAGACCTGTCAATATTTAAGACCTTAGCATTTCTAGCCTGCACATCCAGCAGCACAGAGTAGTTAGAATTAGTATCTGTGTCAAGTCTATTGATTAGGGCATTTTACATTGAACAAGATTTGTTTGGTATTAACCATTTGAGCACTGGTGTGCGGTGTTCGGCTGGCCGTACATGTCTCAATGGTGGGGCTCTCCCTATACGCCTGGCTAGTGCTTCACATTGATTGAAACCTATCCAATAGGAGCTGCCAGACTCGCAGGGAAAATAGTTAGAGGAGAGATAGAAAAGAAGGGTTTGGAGAAAGGCCAGCAAGCTGATGGCCGAACCCTAGGGATATATGGAGTGTAAATAGTAGTAAAATACACAGGCAGATCTCAGCTGTCTGGCTGTGGAGTGGTGATCACAAACTGGTTTATAATACAGGTTGTGTGTGCTTGGCTAGACAACCTGTAGTAACCACCTGTGTACTCATCATAATTGGTGGGTGTAGTGCGTGTTGTGTTGGGGAATACCTACACAAACAATACCTGTAGCTTTCTAGATATATAGTCATTCAGTTACCGAGGTTGTGGTAAGATCATTCAAAAACATCCATGTATACCTATTTGGCCTTTTGCATTTATTAGAGTTCTTTTACATTTCTTCTTGTTTACAGTTATATAAGGAGACACACCAGAGCACGTACCGTATATGACCTAATAAGGCCAGCTTCCTCTAATAAGGGCCCCTTCTGAGATTTTGAAATTATAACTTAAATGCTTAGTGTAAATTACTGGATTTTTATGCCTGCCCCATTTTAAGGAAGGGGCAGAATATAGTGTTACCCAGTTCGTCCCAGTCTGTCCCTTTGCTATTCATTGACACTTTCATTTATTAACAGATTTTCATCAAAATGGGTCAAGTATGAGAATACCTCTTATGAGTCTATATTTCAAGATCCCAAAGTTTGGTTTGGTTTATTTGTGTTTTACGCGCTATTGACAGCTATGGTCATTTGACCAGTGTGACTAGATCACTGACCTTCGCCCAGTTAGTATACCTGCAACTGCGTCATGTAGGCCATGAATCTGTGACCAGTGGTGGAGAGCTAGGGTAAGTGATTGTGGATGGTCAGACGCCTTAACCACTCGGCCACCAAGGTCAATTGTTGCTGTACTGTTTCTTAGCTGGATGTATGTGTTGACTGGTGGTAGACGACTAAACTGTACTGTTTCTTAGCTGGATGTATGTGTTGACTGGTGGTAAACGACAAAAAATGTACTGTCTCTTAGCTGAATGTATGTGTTGACTGGTGGTAGACGACTAAACTGTACTGTCTCTTAGCTGCATGTATGTGTTGACTGGTGGTAGACGACTAAACTACTGTCTCTTAACTGGATGTATGTGTTGACTGGTGGTAAACGACTAAACTGTTCTGTCTCCTAGCTGGATGTATGTGTTGACTGGTGGTAAACGACCAAAACTGTACTGTCTCTTAGCTGGATGTATGTGTTGACTGGTGGTAGACGACTAACCTGTCCCGTCTCTTAGCTGGATGTATGTGTTGACTGGTGGTAGCCGGCTAAACTGTACCGTCTCCTAGCTGGATGTATGTGTTGACTGGTGGTAGATGACTAAACTGTACCGTCTCTTAGCTGGATGTATGTGTTGACTGGTGGTAGATGACTAAACTGTTCTGTCTCTTAGCTGGATCACCAGGATGTATGTGTTGACTGGTGGTAGACGACTAAACTGTACCGTCTCTTAGCTGGATGTATGTGTTGTCTGGTGGTAGATGACTAAACTGTACCGTCTCTTAGCTGGATGTATGTGTTGAATGGTGGTAGACGACTAAACTGTACCGTCTCTTAGCTTGATGTATGTGTTGACTGGGGGTAGACGACTAAACTGTTCCGTCTCCTAGCTGGATGTATGTGTTGACTGGTGGGAAACGACTAAACTGTACTGTCTCTTAGCTGGATGTATGTGTTGACTGGTGGAATGGTATATAACCTTGTATATTCTACATATGTATAAAACAAGATGTATGTGTTGACTGGTGGTAGACGACTAAACTACTGTCTCTTAACTGGATGTATGTGTTGACTGGTGGTAAACGACTAAACTGTACTGTTTCTTAGCTGGATGTATGTGTTGACTGGTGGTAGATGACTAAACTGTACTGTCTCTTAGCTGGATGCATGAGTTGACTGGTGGTAGACAACTAAACTGTACTGTCTCCTAGCTGGATGTATGTGTTGACTGGTGGCAAACGACTAAACTGTACTGTCTCTTAGCTGGATGTATGTGTTGACTGGTGGTAGACAACTAAACTGTACCGTCTCCTAGCTGGATGTATGCGTTGACTGGTGGTAAACGACTAAACTGTACTGTTTCTTAGCTGGATGTATGTGTTGTCTGGTGGTAGATGACTAAACTGTACCGTCTCTTAGCTGGATGTATGTGTTGAATGGTGGTAGACGACTAAACTGTACCGTCTCTTAGCTGGATGTATGTGTTGACTGGTGGTATGGTATATAACCTTGTATATTCTACATATGTATAAAACAAGATGTTGTGTGTACTTCAGGTCAGCAACCTGTTAAACACTCATGTATTTATATACACAGCTCCCTGCTAATCAAAACATGTACTGACCACACAATAGCTGGATTGTGCTGCTGTAACTCCAGGTACAGTGATTCAGAGCATTGTTTGATTCACCAGATATAAATAGTTTGTATTAAATGTTAAAATAGCCATCTTTTCAACAAATGTAGGTCAGTAATTTCCTCTCTGTAATTAAAGGCAATCATTTTAAACTTATAAGTGTATGTGTATAAGTTTGAGTTAAATGTATAATCTGTACTTTTTAACGTGTGTCGAATAAGAAATTTGATTAATTAATTGTTATGTTAAAAAGTAATGGAGTTATTTTAACAAGAAGGCCATCTTCTTACACTTATATGGTCACCTTATATGAGCAAATGTACCTGTGGATATATACAAATATGTATTGCGTCGTCACATCACATGGTAAGTGTATAATGTGTAATTGTGTATATATTACACAGACACAGCATCACAGTCTTCTAAAGGAGTAATTTGATGTTTAATGATATTTACAGGTACAGGTACACACAACAGAAACACTGTCTTGATCTGAGTTGTTTACTGTCTTATTCTCTGAACTTCCCTTATGTCCAAGGTCAAAAGTTCACAACAGATAGATTTTGTCACTCCATTAAAATCCTCCAGGTCAACGCCAGCTGGAGTCATTATTTAGTCAACAGACTAGTTATGCAGCTGTCTCTGTGTTAAAAAGTGTCTGGGAAGGACATCGGTCGTATCTTCCTCGTTTGGTGTCTGAATTTTTGAGATTGTGTACAAAGCATTCAACCCTTTTTTTTCAAAATAGTTGCATCAGATTATACTTAATTTGGGCTTGCTGTGTTTTTCCAGGAAAACACTAATCAAATTTAACAAGAAGGTATTTGAAAATGAGAAACGCCTAACATGTGGCTACTTAAGGAAGTGCACAACTTCAGTGATAAAATTTGACCTACCATAGTTAATATGTGTCTTTTATTCCTTGTTGTACATAAAGGAGAAAATTCTTATTCAATTAAAATCTGAATTTTATTGATTTATATTTCTGAGAAGACTAAAAACAAATGTGATCAAATGATGTAAGAATTGTGAAAGTAATTTTGAGATTTTGTTCACAATTTAAAATATTGTGAAATTGGGATAAACTGGTGATGCACATGTTGTGTTACCATATAGTTATCCAGCAATGCGCCCAGGTAAACAGCACATCTCTAATTCAAGTAAGGGGGTGGGCAGATTGGAGGACATTGAATAGCATTTGTCGGTAATTTTACTGAACTGCTATTGATACCAGTTGACTTATTATCATCAGGCATGGCTTTATTGTAGAGCTACTACGTACATGTGGTTGTGATACACTATTCATAGTATTTGGGAATGGAGATCATTGACACCAGGAGGAACCATGACTTTGTGGAAAGGCTAGTCATGCATGTATAGTATACCTATATTCCGTCTTTGCGTATTGCAGAGTTATCTTCTCTTTGGAGCAGGGGTTGATTGTTACGTCATTGGTTTGTGTGAGAAAATTACGTCGTTTTCTCAAAAATTGATGACGTTACTCTCATAAACAAGTGATGTAACAATCAATACCTGCTCCCAAGAGAAGATAACTCTGCAATATGCAAAGACGAAATAGGTGTATGAAGAGGGACTTGGATACCTGATGATGCCAAGGAAGTGAACAAGTTTTTACCATTATGTTTCAGTGCAGTAGAGGACCCAATTTTACATGGAAAAATTAAATGACCCCTCTTAAAAAATATCTAGGACAAACATCGATTTCACAATAGAAATTGGGCAGAATCTAAATTACGCTTATTCCAGCAATGGTGATAATATCAATTTCATTAATCCTGTGATTTCCATGCCAACCTCAAGACTTTACAGTTGTTAACCGTATTGGCAACCTACATCATTCAGTACATAAAGCTGCTGTTAACTTTACTTCAAAATGTAACAACAGGCTTTTGAGTATCCATGCTTTGGAAAGAATTAATTTTGATTGTGCAAGCTTAGCTTCCCATTGATTCAATCAAATTGCAACTTATTACTTTCGTATGGGCTCCTAGCTTTTCCCTTGTGTGGGATTTCTTAAATTACTGGAAACTTTAATCTGTAATTGATTTGCTGTAATACAAAATCATCTCCGTTTTCTTCTTACAGGGCAACTGAGTCAGAATCATTACCATGAAGAGATGTATCCCCCTGGAGGTGGCGGGCGCATGCCTGGGGTTGTGGCTGGGGCTGGGGCTGGCCCCCCGGGCTATCAAAGCCAAAACTCTCAGCAAATGGTATGTATTATTTTAAACTGAAAGTGTAGTGTACAGTCAAATCTCAGTCTGGACCTGAGGTTACCTAAAGCAAAACTTCATACAATAACAAAATAACAAATTTCATTCTTGGAAATTTCATGTTTCTTATAGCTTTCATGGCTTTTGACATTTTACTTGATCATCAAACTATTGAGATGTTGCAGTGATCTTGTTCAACACATCCACAAAATTAAAATTAATTTTAATATTTTCTACTTTTCTGTCATGCACAAAAAATCGATAGTACAGTTCTGATTAGATTTTAGGATTGCTACCAATATTGTCCAAGATTTCTCCTTTATTCACAGATTTCAGTGTTCACTATGTATTTTAAGACATTTGGTTGGATTTTTTCCTGCCCATATGCATTTTCATTCCCAATATGGCCGTTTCCCGAAATGTTTTCATAATTTCCCTTTTCAATTCAATCCCCCAAATCACAAAGTGACTAAGAAAACCCAAGTTATTGATAAAGCAAACCTTGTTAAATTAGTACTGAAATGTTTGATTCGCCCTAAACTGCTCCCATGATCAAACTTGTAAACTCACTTGATTTAGATAGATAAATATTTTCTGTTATGCAGAATATAATATATATAATCGGGCAATGGTATACGGTATTATAGGTCTTATTTATGAACGTTAAAGGTAGTAAATGTATAGTCGTATAGTGTTGGTCTACACCAGACAGTACATGTATTGCCTAAACTGTATACTTCGGAGGAAAGAAGTATGAGTGTTGTAAAGGAACCCACTGTTTGTGAATTTTTAGGTCACCTGAGACAAAGTCTCAAGTGACCTATTGCGATCGCAATTTACATTTGCCACTTCTTCTCCAAAACCCCAGAACCAATTTCAATGAAATTTTGCAGACCCCTCCCATGAACAAAGGTCAACAAAAATGGTTGCTGATTTAGTCCCCAGCCCCCAGGGAACTGAGGGGCGGGGCCAAAAAGGGTAAAATTGACTAAAATTTCAAAAATCTTCTTCTCAAGATCCAGATATGGTAGAATCAAACACTCCTCATAGATGGAAGGGTCTTAAGGTGCTCTACCAAAATTGTGAATTTTGTGACCCTGGGGTCTCACGTTTCCGCCTGGGGAGGGGTAAACTTTACTATAGTTTATATAGGGAAATCACATTTTGGACCAACATTTGATCAATTTCCATTGGAAGTAATTCAATTTGGGTTAGCATTATCAGTATTGGATAGCAGTTCGATGGTATGCACATATGAGCCCTGACTGACCCCCCGGGGCTGATGGGTGGGGTTTTGACTGAAATTTCAAAATCTTTTTCTCAAAGACCCAGGTATGGAAGAATTAAAAACTCTTCATAGATGGAAGGGTCTTAAGGTGCTCTACCAAAATTGTGAATTTCATGACCCTGGTGTCTCAAGTTTCCCCCTTGGGAGGGAGTAAACTCTACTATAGTTTATACAGGGAAATCACATTTTGGACCAACATTTGTTTAATTTCCATTAGAAGTAATTCAATTTGGGTTAGCATTATCAGTATTGGATAGCAGTTTGATGGTATGCACATATGAGCCCTGACTGACCCCCCGGGGCCGATGAGTGGGGCCAAAAAGTGTTGAATTGACTGAAATTTCAAAAATCTTCTTCTCAAGACCAAGATATGGTAGAATCAAATACTCTTCATAGATGGAAGGGTCTACTAAGGTGCTTTACCAAAATTGTGAATTTCATGACCCTGGAGTCTCGTGTTTTCCCCTGGGGAGGGGGTAAACCTTACTATAGTTTATATAGGGAAATCTAATTTTGGACCAACTTTTGTTTAATTTCCATTGGAAGTAATTCAATTTGGGTTAGCATTATCAATATTCGATAACAGTTTGATAATATGCACATATGAGCCCTGACTGACCCCCCGGGGCTGATGGGTGGGTCGAATTGACTGAAATTTCATAAATCTTCTTCTCAAAGACCCAGATATGGTAGAATCAAACACTCTTCACAGATGGAAGGGTCTTAAGGTTTATGACCCTAGGGTCTCACGTTTACCCCCTGGGGAAGTTGGGGGGAGCAAAATTTATTATGGTTTATGATGGCAAATGATACTTTGAATATTACATGTTAATAACTTGATTGGAATTATAACCCTGAGTTGACAGTTTGATATTTTGAAATTTTTGAGCCAGTCCTATCCCAAGGGCTGTAGGATGGAGCCCAAAGGAGTCAGTGTGCTAAAATATCATCATTTTCCTTATTTAGAAAGGCCGAAGGGCCAAGTGAGCTTATCCCATGGCGCAGCGTCTCACGTCCAACTTTTTCCTTTAAAACGTTACCAGTCCTGAACAGCTCAGAGGTTTTTGACCAAATTTGGTTTGGAGCATCATTGGCCAAAGGGTTCTCAGTTTTGTATAAACAGAGGGTATGGTCCCCTGTAGGCAGAGGGGTGGGGCCAAAAAGGGGGAAAATAGGTAAATCTTTAAAAATCTTCATCTTCTCAACCAATGGAAGGATTTTGACCAAATTTGTCCTAGAGCATCTTTGGACAAAGGAGACTCAAGTTTGTATAAACAGAGGGTGTGGCCCCTCTGGGGGCAGAGGGGCGGGACCCAATAGGGGAAATAGAGGATTTTTTTCTCTCCTACTATACAAGTGAAGGGATTTAAACCAACATGCAATCTGAAGCATGATTAGGAACAAAAGAATCAATTTTGTATAAACTGAGGTGTGTGGGCCACCTTCTAGGGGCAGAACGGTTGGGCCCATTAGGGGAAATAGAGGAAAACATCAAATATCCTTCTCCTTTTGTATCGAAGAAAGGATTTTGACCAAATTTGGTCTGGAGCATCATTGGACAAAGGGTTCTCAGTTTTTATAAACAGAGGGTATGGCCCCCCTGGGGGCAGAGGGGCGGGGCCAAATAGGGGGAAAATATGTAAATCTTTAAAAATCTTCTTCTCAACCATCTTTGGACAAAGGAGCCTCAATTTTGTATAAACGGAAGGTGTTGCCCCTCTGGGGGCATAGGGGCGGGGCCCAATAAGAGAAATAGAGGATTTTTTTCCCCTATTTTACAAATGAAGGGATTTAAACCAAATGTAGTCTGAAGCATGCTTAAGGGAAAAAACTCAATTTGTTTAATTTGTATAAAAAGGTGCATGTGAGGCCCAATAGGGAAAATAGAGGGAAATTGGGACATAACATGGAAACTCATTTTCTTGGTGTCTTTCCCACCAAAACAGATTTATATGTAGTTCTTCTTGCAACTTTGTTTCTTGTACTCCTTTGATAAACCTGTATGGTACTCAGCAGGTTTTAAATTGATAAATAAAATACCAGTTGAGCTATTAAGGCCCCTGGGCCTCTTGTTTGTCACTGAATAATATTTCTGTTCATGTTAAAAACAAAATCAACTCTCTGTATAAATATATCAGGTGACCGTTAAGGCCCATGGGCCTCTTGTTATTCAATATTGCCTCCAGAATATGTGATTTGTATACAGAGGATCCAAGGGGATTCAATTATAGCATTAATGTGGTTCCCACACTATAATGATATTAATACTGGAGTTTTATTGACTCCGGGGTTATCAAATGTAATTTTATGTCAGAGATACAGTGTTTTGTATCAATGGGCTGATGAAAGCCGCCCTATCATATCGTTGTTATAGCTGAATATCGGAAGTTTACAATTTTGCATCTTGGTGTTTACTGTTAGATGCAGCTTCCAATGCATCTGTAAGAACTGTTACATCACAGCATGTCCATATTAACAGGTTGCATCTCTTAGAGTACACAGAGTTTGTGGGTCCTGACCCATTGTAAACGGCAAATTGTGTTGGCTGTGTAACGTTAAAGTACAACCGGTAAATGAAAGCTGTCGCTGATATTGTACACACGTTTTGAACGCAAAATTGTGGTAACATACATAGATGTAAATTCACTTACACAGCTAAACGTGGTATTCATTAAAAATTCATCAGGTTCGACAGATTACCACATACCACAATATAGATCTCGGGTGCAAGTCAGGTAGTAAAATTAGTTAACACAAAAAATGTATCATCCTTTAGAAACATACAGAGAAGCTTCTTTTGAAATCCCATATATGTTTTAATGCTGAAAATCAATCAGTATCTGTAACACAGCTGAAAATTGCTGTTTGCAATCGTTGTCTCTGCCTGCTATAATTGTATAGCTTTGCCAGGATTGCTGATATAAATCAATAGAATAGCATCAGTTGATTACATTTCACATTGATACCTGTACATTTACTACCAATGACATCTGACCTGGTTCAGTGATGGATAGTGTTAAAGACACCCAACAGCACTAAATCTGCTTCCGTGTCATTGTGGATAGAGCTATTACAGCGGATATATAGCTGATTTAATATTTCAAATAACAGCCTGCATATCCATTTCTGGTGAAATTTGGCAGTTTCTAGCAGCCTCAATGAAAAAAACTATAAGCAAACGGTGGTTTATAATGCACACTTGTTGTTCAATTCAAAATATTTCTGAGAAAACATTTTGTGGATTAGTAATTCAAATATCCAGATGAATACGAAATTGTAGATTATGACTTTTTTTATGTCTCGCTTTTTAGGTCACCTGAGACAGTCTCAAGTGACCTATTGCGATCGCCTTTTGTCCGGCGTATGGTAAAATCAAATACTCTTCATAGATGAAATAGATGGAAGGGGCTTAGGGGCTTTACCAAAATTGAGAATTTCATGACCCTGGGGTCTCACGTTTCCCCCTGGGGAGGGGGTAAACTTTACTATAGTTTAATTGTGAATTATATCGTCCCCAGCTCCCAGGAGCCTGAGGGGCGGGGCCAAAAAGGGTCAAATTGACTAAAATTTCAAAAATCTTCTAATCAAGTTCCAGATATGGTAGAATCAAATGCTCTTCATAGGTGGAGGGGTCTTAAGGTGCTTTACCATAATTCAGCTGACTTACAGAACCACTATTTGTACAAAGTACATAATTATACTACCAAGATCT